CACACACACACACACACACACACACACACACACACCCTATACAAGCAGTCTGAAAAGTTCTGTCTCTTTTCCATCCACATTCAACTCCCACCCCACATCCCAACAACCAGGGGCACCCCGCTGGCTGGGATGGGATTCCATGTCCCTTGCAGACAAGTGCGAGAGCAATTATTAGCAGACCCTGATTAAACTCCACATCAAGCCACCTCCCCGTGGAGTCTCAGACTGGAGGCTGAGTTCCAAACACTCCCAACTCCCGGCGACCTGCACCCGCAAAGTCAGCGGGAGGCACCACCCCCGCGCTCGCCCCTCCCAGCTCCGCAAGACCCGCCCCGGTCCCAACTTCCGCGGCTGCAGCCCCACGGTCCACCGGCAGGCCGGGGCTACCTGGTCCAGCAGCCGGTAAATGCTGATGCCCAAGGCTTCCACCAGCAGCTGCCAGTCGGCTCCCGTCAGCGCGGGCTGCTGGAGCTCCGCGCAGGCCTCCTGGAACTGCTCTTCCGAGAAGCTGCCGGCTGCAACGTCCATCCCTGCACGGTCGCGGTTCCTCCGCCAGCAGCCCCGGTTGCCGAACGGCTAGTTGTGGGCTTGGGGGCGGGGCGAGAGGCTGCTGCAGTGTGATTGGCAGGGACCGACAGAGTGATGGGGAGAAGGCGGGACTTGGAGGAGGAGGAGGAGCGAGAGTGGGGAAACGCAGAAAAGTGAGCCGGGATGAGCGAGAGATGAGGGTGAGGGACCAAAGAAAAAGAACTAAAACAGAAAAAAATTAGGGAGGGGGTTAGAGAAATAGGGAGGCATTTAGGAGGAGGAAGACACATTAATGTCATTTCAGCAATACCTGTACAATAGCCCCATCTCATACCCTTCCCTATCTCCATACCCCCAAACTTTTTCTCCCAAAACGGGCTGAGATAGCTCCATTACATTTGAGTGATGTGGCAGACTTGGGAGGTGAGGTGGGTAAAATGGAAATACATAAAAATTCAAAGACCAGATAATAGAACTGTATTTCAATATTATTTCTATTCTTTCTGTTATGCACTTAAAATATATTTTTCTGAGATGGTATCCCTAAGATTCACCATAAGGCCAAAGAAGTCCCTGGCACAAACAGGTTAAGGAAGCTAATCCATTGTGGATCTAAAAGGTAATTTGCCACCCAGGAGGGTAGAAAATGATCCCAAAGATAGCATGGGTAGTCACCAGGATTTCTGCAGCTTGCATAATTTAGACCTTTGTGCAATTCAAAGATCTCTTTGTTTCTTCAGGTCCTGTGGGTGTTCTTATTTTCTACCAGCAGGTTGTACAAGGCGTTGAATAAAGTTTTAAGTTTACAGATCAAACATTGTCACCCCATATGAGATCCAATAAAATCTGGAAACCTTTGTTTCCTAAATGGGGTGAGAATTGTGCAGCCAGTTAGAATCAAGGAGATAATTACATGAACCATAGAACATGTTTATAACTGCCTATCAGAATGTATGTTCATGTTTAATAAAAATTGTAACTTGTTTTATAATACTTATCAAAATGTTTTTCTTAGAGTACTTGAAAGAATGTCTTGAAGTTTATGGCACACTACCTTTCTGTCAATTTCCAAAATAAGACTGTAAGATCACTTTTGGCAGCAAGGTTACACTATTGATTTATTGCAATGCTGGTTTATGGGGATGGGAGGAGGGTTGTGAGTTTCCTACACACACAAGAGATTAGAGACATTCTCTCCTGTTTTTATAATCCCTTTAAACTTTTAATCTTTGCAAAAACTATTATATTTAAACTAGAATTCAGTTGCTTAAAAAGCCAATTTCATCAATTGGCTGTGAAGCATTTTCAAATAATTTTAAGGACTCCATTATAAAGTTTGTGCTTTGATGAGGCTACATCTTAATAACTAAAAACAAAGACAGGTGTGAATATAAATGGGACTAAGCAAGATAAGAGACTGGAATTTAAAATTGTACTTATTGTATGTGTTTAAAAGTATTTATCTACTAAACTTAAATGGTAAACACATATCTATTTGGTTATGTTACTCTTTATGTTCAGATTTATGTCCATTTTTATTTTCTTATAGTTAATGAAGGACAGGACATAGTTATGGAAAATATGTTAGGGAATAGTTTTTATTTTGTGCATTTATATATTGCATGTTTTATTTCATATATGTATAAATCAGAGGTCTAGAAAAGGCTTGGAGAGAGGTCTAGAAAGACCTATTCATTAGGACTTGGCCAAACAAGCTTGCTTCCCCTATGAAAACCCTTCCAGCAACATGGCAGCTAAGCTCCTGGCCTGAAACACAGAAATGGTGATGGTGAATAACATGTACCAAATATAGTTTAGCAGAAAATAAAGAAGGGCTACTCTCCAGATTGCAGAAAGGAAGACATAAGCAACTTTAGAAAGGGTGACTACACCCCTGCCTGATCCCCTATACCCAGATTTGCCTGTGAAGGAACTTACTTAGAGAACTGCCCTTAGCCTCACTCATTCACTCACTTCTTCTCAGAGGGCTGATTAAAATGAGTGATGAGTTTGGAAGAATGAGCTACTGAGCACATCTGATCACGCTTTCTATTGCCTCCTTCCTAGAATGCCTCCTGTAGAAAATATGCCCAGTTTATACAGTAACAAGATGGCAGGATGTGCCACCAGAACAGAGATTTTCCCATCTCTGCCTATGCCTGGAGAGCAAGTTTGGTTATAGATACCATGTTATAATTCTCCTGCTGCCAACAAGCTTGTTCTATAAACGACTTTGTTGTAGTGGGGCGAAATATTCATCTCCACTGTCTAAATATAACATCTGTCTCTAAGTTGATTCAGAATACAGGTGAGGGGGAGAGAATATTTTATTTGGGGTTTTCTGAAATTCTAACTGACAGACACTCTAAGCAGGGTGTAAATGGGGGCTGGACTTCTAATACACACACTTGCATTGAAGATGTGACTGTGGGCCTTAGCTTGGGGTAGCAGTACCAGGAACTGACTCCTTATGAAGCCTGGATCCTCCAAGAGCTAGCTTCTCCTTCCATTCAAAGAAAACCAGAAAATCCCTAATCTGGAGATCAAAGAAAGTCATGCTTTTCCAGCAGCCTTAGGTCAAAAGATAAAAGGCAATTAGGAGAACCGAAGTCTAAAGCCTAAGCAGAGAGGGGATCTTACTGTGTGTTTTTGGCACTCTGAGCAAGCCACCAGGAGATAACTGAACACAAAATCTGATCCAAGACCACCGAAACCTCTGGTCTCCTGCCAGAGTCAAACCAAGGATGCTTTCACAACTAGGACACATGAATTACCCAAGAAAGAACACCGCTCACAGAGATGCATGTACAAAAGTTAAGTTACAAAAACCTGAAAAATCAACTCTCCAAGTGAGAGAGTTAGCAGATGTCTATTTGTTTAATATGTATATATGATAAAGGGAAAGGTCTTGAAATAGAGCACTCAGAAATGAATTTGATAAAGATCAAATAGAGTTTCTACAAATAAAAAATAGTCATGAGATTAGAAACTTCAAAGAAACAACAAAAGAGTTGTTCTGTCACTACAGTTAAAAAGAATAGTAACTATCATATTACATATAATATGTATATTAATAATATGCTACATACATATCTATATTTAATTGTATATCTCTTTTGTGATATACATATTCCATTAGTGTAGTCTTCCATATGTAATATATACATTTCATTTGATAGATTCCATTATGTACAATATATACACATTTCATTACATATTCTTGTACATATATTCCAGTATATGTGAGATATGCTGCTATACATGTATTCTGTTATGTATAGTATGAATTATTTAACCTATTTCACTACACATAATTCCATATGTTATTGGTATATCACAAAATATATGTAAGTTAGCATAAGTAATGCAATCTGGAAGTGATATAGCATGGTACCAACAATTTACATTCAAATATTTCATTAAAAAATACACAACTAATGAATTTAGGTGAAGTGTAGAAATATTTTTGTTCTGTCCCTTAATATCCCTTTTCTGTATATGGAAATTATTCCATATTTTTCTTCTATCCCTTCATATCTCTTTTCTGTATATGGAAATTATTCTAAATAGACATTTTGAGAAAATCCTGATTTATAGGAAACATCACAAAATATGATTAAACAAAAATTATTGGTGTAAAGCTATGGAAGATATAAACCTTAGACAAGTATAGGTGGTATGGCTCAAAAATTTCAGACAAAAAATAGAATTTAAGGCAAAGGAAAAAATACTAAGAACTAATGATAAAAGTCACAACTTTAGGAATCCTTGTGCTTAAATTAAGACTCATTTCACAACATAATCAAATATACAAGGCAAAAATTGTAATCAGTACAGCGAAAAATTATCTAATTTGCATCGTTGAACATTTCAGTGTTCTATTCTAAGAAGTGGATTGATCAAGCAGACAAAAATTGGTAAAGATACGAAAGGCTTGGCCCTCCCTGGTGGCGCAACAGGTTAGGACACAGCACTGCAAGCTGGTGTCAACCGCTTCAGTAAGAGTTCGATCCTGCCCCGGAGGTGACCACATGGCGTGGCAGACCTCTCCTGACCCGCCCACTGCTTCCCTCAGCAGTGTACTTCCTCAATCTGCTTGTCCTCAATCTGCTTGTTCTGCTCCTCCCTCTCTCTTTGGCGAAGTCTCTCACAACCCCTGCACCTCTGGCTTGTACCCCAGCTATGTATGGATAAATAAATAAATCTTTTAAAAAAAAAATATATATATATATACAAAAGACTTAATCACATAACCATGGGCTGGATCTAAAGGGCATTTACTGAAACCCAAGCCAATAAATAGATCATACATTTTATCTGTAAGAGCTCATAAAACATTCATTAAAATTGATATTCCTGTAAAGATGCCTCAACAAGCAAAAAAATCTATATCGTTCTCTGATGGCAATGCAAAAAACTAAAGAAGTAAAAAGAAAAATATCCACCCCCCCACTCCCATTTATTCAAAAACTAAAAACAAAACAAATACATACTTTTATTCCAGGATGCTAATCAGTAATTAATTCCCTGCAGCAAATTCATTTCTGCATAACTTAGAGAGTTTTTACGTTCTGTGATTACTACTCACAAATAGCCTACTTTTGGATTAGGATATGTAATATTTTTAAGATGGCCTTCCAATAATTGAAAGTATTAATCCAAATAAAACTTAGGTTAAAAACAAAAAAGATATCCAACAAACTTAACATCAATTCTAAAATTCACAGGAACGGTATAAGGGGCAATTTGAAAAATTGGGGAAAGCAAGTTCTGAAAGTAGAAGAGGGAAAAAAATCCTGCCTTAACAGATACTAGGATTTACAACAAAGAAATGGCATAATAAGGAACCAGTGCTAGGAAAATAAAAAGAATAATGATAACTTGGAAGAGCTTTCTACCAAGAAATGATTCCATATGAATTTTTGAAACCCAGCAAGCAAGAGAATAGATAATGGTTTTGAAATGACTGTGTTTGAACAATGGTGTTGAAATGATGAGGTATCTTTATGCAAACATGAGATTGCAAATTTCATCACCCACTAATATAAATTTCAGATGTATAAAACTAATTGTGTAAGGTTA